TAATTTTATTGTAATATCATATTATATGATAAAATAATAATATTAGAATAATTAATATAATTATGATATTATTTATTACAATATTACTATTATATTATATTATGAGTCTGAATTTTAGATTGAGAAGATTGTCAATTTTAAATTTTATTAGGGGTATTATGAGTATTATGAAAGTTTTATTAAGTGTACTATGCTAATTACCACACAATCTAAAAGCTAAAGTTGTCTTTAGGCTACTTCTGATTTTGGCTGTAAATTCTTAAAAAATTCTTCAAAAAGTACTTTTGAGGAGATTTACCAAACACTAAAATCAGCTTCTACTATAAGCAAAAACTGATTTTGGGATGAAAAAGCAATACCAAACTAAGCCATTGTCTTCTTAGAAATAGGATTATTGAACACTAATTCCTCACGAAAGTCTTAGTTCTTTTGCCGCCTTGGAAGAAGAATTTGAAGAAGACGGTGACTTTCCTCTTGCTCTGTTATTCCAAGGCAAGACTGAGAGGATCTTAAAAGAAAAAAAAAAAGACAGTGATATCTAGTTTTTGTATGAAAAACGTAAAAAAAAAAAAAAACTATAGTTCTTGCTCTTTCTTATTTGTTTACACTTGGAAACAAAAAAACTAAGAAATTTAAATGTTAGAACGATTGCCGTCCAAATTGAAAACATTAACAAGGTACATGCTTTGCTGGAGAAAATATTTTCATTTGAAAATTTGTCGTTGTTTGAATAGAAAGTAGACATGTAGATTGTTGGTCGTTTAAGTGTAAAAATGACATACGTTCTAAGGCTATTTTTCCTCAATTCATGAAAACGACATGCTCTTGTTAAATTAAAAAAGGAGGTTTCATTTCATGTCTAACTCAAAGCTTTTAATCTACTCTTCTAAAAAAATAATATATCTTTTATAATCGTCACATCATCTATAAGTTGGTCGTTTACTGTCATTCACCAATTGTTCGGTAATTTGGTGAATCTAAATCTGAAAAACGACATGCCATTTATGAAGGTATGGTTATCCGAAAATTTACTATTTTTTCAGTGTGGTACTGTACTACAAATAATTAGAGCAAAGTGAGCCTAGACTAATTAGTGCAGAATACCGCAACCCACGGAAAAAAAAAAAGCGTAAATTGTTATTAGGCTAGACACAACTCAACATATAAGTATTTGTTTTAAAAAAAAAAAAAAAAAAAAAAAAAGGTCATCCCTTTTTTGGGGGGTTTTTTTTTTTTTTTTTTTTTTTTTTTTTTTTGTTAATAATATAAGTGATGATCTGTAACATTACTTCAATATTTCTTTGATGCAATCTAATAGGCACTTTTTTTTTCTTTTTTCCTGAAAAACACTAATACGCAGTTTTCCAATGTAGTGCTTGCTCTAACATAAGAATATATGTATCTATAATGCCACGGCTGGCTCGGCCTTGGGTTAGCAAATCATTGTTACTATATAATAATATGATTATGAAACAGATTAGCAAGGGTGGGAAATTAATTATAAATTAGAAGTTATGGGACAAAAAAAAGGTTTAGAGCATTCCGGAAAAAAAAAAGAAAAAAAAAAACGCACACACACACACAACACAAACACACACGGATTCAGACTTCAGAGTTACTAATAAACTTACTACCTCTTGAAGAAGAAAAATAACAATTGAAAGAGAAAAAAAATAATGCTAGAAAATTTTGGAGGCCGAAGAAAATATGGGGGAAAAAAGGGCCAATGGATGGATTTTTTAAGAGAGAAAAAGGAAAATAGGCCAAGACTTGAGATGAATTAAAATTAATAGGCCAATAGTTTACATAAGTTAATAAATAGGCCAAATTACTATTTTTGTCCATAACTTATTTGATTATGAATCATAACTTGACAAGTTATTGTCCATAACTTATTTAGTTATGAACCATACATTGACAAGTTTATCCATAACTTATCTGGTTATGAACCATAACTTGACAAGTTATAGTCTATTAATTTCTATAACTAAAAATTGGCCTATATACTTTCTTAAGCTTTTCATATTGGCCTATTTTCTACTATTTTCATTTTTTAATGGCAAAAATAAAAAAGAGCAAAAAGTTTTTTTTTATGGTTGAAGACGATAGTTAATGGATTTCCTTTTTCTTTTTTTCTTTATTGAAAACATGAAGTTTTTTTTTTATTATTTGCTCTTGTCTTTTAAATATTTGATCTTTTTTATAGATTTAATTAGAATTGAATGCCTTTAGTTAAATTTTAATTGTACACCATATCAGCAATTCTGTTAAATTTATAGACGGATGGGGTGTTTTGATACATTTTTTATAGATCGATAGGTATTTTGAGCTGTTTAAAAATATTAGGCGACACTTTGAATTAGAGTACATAGTTCGGGGACATTTATGAAAATACTCCTAAATTTTAAGGTAAAATGGAAAAAAAAAAAAATTGGAGAACCTAAAAGGGAAAAAAAAGGAGGGGGGTGTTGGGGGGTGCATTTCGACCAAAAGGTGGGCGTTTTGGTCGAAATGCTCCAAACAGTCAAAGCACATTGTGCTTTGACGTTGTGCTTCCTTATATATATCCATATATATATATGTAAGTATATATATTTTGAAATTCAACATTCAATATTTCAACTAGAGATAGAGAGGATCCGACGTGGATCATCTTTCGAGATTCAATTATTATCAGCGACATTTAACAATATGGAAATAGAGAAAAAGAATGCAAAAGAAAGTATATATAATTAGAAGAACTGTTTTAGAAAAAAAAAAAAAGTGTATCAATAGAAGAATAATAATATTGGAAAATTTGAATATATTATACATCGTATTTATAAAAAAAAAATCTACTACGTACTTTTATTCCTAATAGAAACGACCTATATAGCTTAATGAAGTTGACGCACAGTTTGCAAAAACTGGTCAGCAATGGCCTTGTATGCAGCTTCTGTAGGGTGCATGGAATCCCAAAAAATGAGTTGAGATGGATCAGGACACATAGGCAAACCCACAACACACAGAGGACCCATCTCCAACATTCCCGTTCCACAGCATCCTTGAAGAGTGTTTTGGAATCCTTCAATAAAGACAATAAAAAAAAGAAATTAAGTACTTAGCAAAATATTAAAATCCATATTAAAACAAAACAAAAACAATTTCTTTTATTCATAATCCACATTACCATATTTAGCTGGATTAGTGATCATGTCCATCATGGAATCATATATGTCAAAGTAGACGATTCCAGAATCACGCAAGGAAGACTGAAGGTTAGAGAGAATCTGTTGAAGCTTGGAGTTGTAGGTTTGAGAGTCGATGTTCTGTCCTGTGATGCAAAGGCGGTGGAGCATATGTGGGCTTGGCATAAAGCTGCCTACGGTCACTTGCAGCGGTAAGCACCCTACTGGAGGCAGACCTGCCACGCCAATCTTGCGAGCTCCTCGCTTGTATAGAGCCTTCAGGAAAAAAAAAAAAAAAAATCAATATCGATCACTATCATCATCAAGTACTAATAGAACACAACGCTCCAACCCTGATACACGAGAACAGTTATAAAAGCAAGGAAAAAAAATGGAAAACAAATCAAAAGCAAGATTATTATAGCTTAGCACTCTTAATGCAAGCTAATGCCACGCGCGGCTGGCTCGCTTAATTAGCAAATCATTGTCAATATTTATATGTGTTTATGTTCAATCTAATGCTATAATTTCGGAAGGAAAAAGGCAGCGAGCCTAGTCAACAGTTTTGCAGTATATGCAGAATTCTTTTTAGGCAAATCCACCACTAATTTTGCGAATCAAAACCTAGACTGGTTTCAAGGGTCATATTAAAACAATTAAGACGATTTATACATTCACTTATGGCAATGGAAAAGGCGTAAAATATGGGAGGATTTCAAAAGTAATTTAGTGTTCATGGCTAAGCTTTTCCGCAATTTGTTTTTAGGGTACTATTTTTCACATTATTGTGGAAAAGTTAACATGTATATACCTGAATGAAAGCCTGAATCCTTTGGAGAAGAAAATCTTGGTAGCTAGAAGGAGTGTGCTGAAAGTTCAGCGTTCTATAGAGATTAAACACAACATCATTAGTCCCAACACTAATAACGAATATAGAATTCCTAACCAATTCCTGGGTTGCGTTTCTTCCAATATTTCCCTCCAGTCTGTACATGGCCTCATCGAAGTATTGCAACTGTCTGGGCATGTCTATAACCCCAGTTAAGGCTGTGGTGGCGTCGTCTAAGCCCGAACCCCCCGAGGCGAAGCTGACGCCGGTGGCCAAGTCCTGCTCGGTCAGCGACGGGCTTAGGTAGGCCGGCAAGGCGTCCTTGATGCCGAGGCTGGCGACCAAGAAGTCGGTTGCGAGCTTCCCGTTGGAAAACCTACCTGTGGGAATGTGGCCAGGGAAGTCTCGGCCATAGGGAGGGTGGTCCCCACGGAAGATTGTCATGAGACCGTTGTTGTTGCCCGAGTCGATGGTCGAGTCACCGAAGGCGAAGACGGCGGCAAATGGTGGAGATTGGTTGGATGCTGCGGTGGTGGTTGGAGCTGGACGTGCACAAGCTGTTATGAAAGCAAAAGAGAAGAAGATGGCGAGGAATAGGGTTGTTTTTCGGCGCTCCATGGCTTTGTGGTCTTTGATTTGGTGTCAAACACTAAACTAGCAAATTGATGATCTATGATGTGGTGTTATAGGAAGGACTTGGGGCCTTATATAGGATTTTAGAGGGTCGTCGAGTCTGTCTATGACTTGGACTTGAAATAAGACTATAATTACCACATTTTTTTTCTTTGAAAAACAAAATCTTTAAAGGATAATTGAATAAATCCAGTATATATCTTAATTATCTTTCCGTTTCTTTTTTTTTTTTTTCTAAAATCTCTCCACGTACGAGTATCCTATTTAAATCATGAATATATATGTAATATCGTAGTACTATTATTATTGTGCTGGAAATGAATCATAAGGTATTTTACTATAGATATATATGCACTTGATTGCCTGTCTGCTTCTTTATTTCTTTTTTTTTTTTAAGAAATCTTGTATTTAGAGAGTTTTCTCGTTAAAAACCTTTTCGCTAATTTACCTTCTTCTTTTTTTTTTCAAGTACACCCCCAAATTCCATATTTCTTCATGTAATACTTTAAAATGACATTTAGTTTTCAAATGCATCCCAAATATTTTTTTTCTATTAATTTACCTTTTTGCATCAAATGCTTTCTTGTTTGTTTTTTTTCACAAATAAAGTCAACTTGTAAATCTTTAAATATTCTTTACTGCACACACATATATAAGAGAAAAGATGCATTTGTTTTTTTAACTTTGTTTTTAACCATCATCCTACATAATATGAAATTGTAAAATAATATTATAATTGTTTTGTAAAAATATTTTTTTCATATAAAAAAACAAAAGCATGCAAATTGTAAAGTAAAAAAAAAAAAAAAGGGTTAGAAATTTAGGCACGTCTCTCATGCCAGTCCACAAAGCAAATTGTGCAAAATAAAATCTTCCGCATTTCCACGTGCTTTGTGTGTGTACTAAGTACTGACCAATAGTAAAATAGTAAAAAATTACACTAAGATGACAAATTTAGGAGAGTGGAAATGAAACATAGTAATTATTATATAGGTATTCTCACATAACTACATTAATTACCTAATAATTGTTTAAATTTTGTGAGAGTTAATTACATTTATGTCCATTTAGTCATGGATGAAAAAACAAATGTCCATAAGTTGTTATATTTACTTATAGGAATGTAAAATAGTCCCTAATGACATTTTTATTCTTAGTTAATTACTTTTTAAAATTCGTTATATAAATTCACAACCACCCACATAAAAAAGAGTATATTTAGAATTATATTATATCAGTAATCATGATACTGATAGATTAATAATATTGTTAAATTAAAGACATGTCTTAAACATGGAGTGTAAAATTGACCATTTCATATAAATACTTCATCTTGTCATTTGTCAAATATTTTAAATTCAGGAGAATGTTATAAATAGCATATTTTTTAAAAACTATTTGAAGTAAATAGCAATTTATTGTGTAAATGTTTCATTTACGACTAATAAAAAAATTTTCATGTAAATTTTCTTTTTAGGAAAAAGATTTTTTCCACGTAAATAAAGATTTTTTACCATGTAAATTATTTTTTATTATTCGTAGACGAACACTTACATAGTAAACTACTGTTTACTTCAAATAGTTTTAAAGTCCGCTATTTACTTAATTTAGTTTTATAAATCTGCTATTTACTATAATTTAAATAAGAGAAAAAGAGACAAATATCCTTTAGAATGCATGAGTCTTAGATTTTTATTCTTTAATCTTAATTAATACCCTTTAATCAAAGAACTATATTAGTCAAAACAGTATTAATCAAGATTAAATGATAAAAATCTTAAAACAATACATTCAAATAGTGAGTTCACCGATTTTCTTTTGAAAAAATAGAGAATTTACCCTTAAAAGTGCATGAGTTTAGACATTTACCCTTTACTCTTGATAAATGCCTACGAAGAAATATTATGATCAAAAGTAAAGGATAAAAATCATTACTCTTTTCTTTTTTCTCATATCCTGTATGATAGACATAAATGTAACTCTCTGTTTTTTTTTTTTTTTTGCCATGTGTTTATAAAGTCCAACCCAATATCCTATCCTATGCCAAGCCAGCCCATCTCCCCCAATTGAAAAAAAATGAAGAATTTACTTTTAAAATTATATAAATTTGAACTTTTATTCTTTATTATTGATAAATATTCTGTTATTAGTGTAATTATTTAACTAAAAAGCTTATGAATCAAAGGGAGAAAGAGGAAAATAGACTAAGACTTGAGATGAATTAAAATTAATAGGCTAATAGTTTACATAAGTTAATAAATATGTCAAATTACTGTTTTCGTCCATAATTTATCTGGTTATGAACCATAACTTGACAAGTTATTGTCCATAATTGTTCATAACTTATCTGGCTATGAACCAAAACTTGACAAGTTTGTCCATAAATTATCTGGTTATGAATCATAACTTGATAAGTTATGACTTATTAATTTTTATAACTAAAAATTAACCTATATATTTTTTTAAGCTTTTCATATCGGCCTATTTTCTATTATTTTCTTGAATCAAATTGTAAAGGATTAAGAACTTTCAGCGTTAATTTGTCAAGATTATCCCATCCAATATGGTCCAGGCCCTGGTATTCTTGTGTGGCCCAATATGACTAAAGCGCCCACAGAGCAAGAAAACCTACGTAGGTGAACGTGTATGTGATCGTTCCCGAATTGGCGGGAGTACACCTTCCCTCCCAAGATTTGGCGGGAAGATCACTGTCTAATAAGCACTTTCAGCACCAGAAACTACACCACACACACTCAGAGAGAGAGAGAGAGAGAGAATCAAATATGGTGGGTTTAACGTACGATTGTCTTGCAAACCCTCTGGGTGTCGTACGATCGACGTTCGAGAAGGCCATGGCCTCCAGCGGCGACCCCGCCTCCTTCAGCGGCGGCGACTGGGGAGCCCTTGACGTCTTCCGAAACTTTCTCTTCGATCAGGACGGCCTCTCTCAGGTTCGATCTCTCCCTAATTATTTAAATTTAACGTTTCCTAGGGTTGTGCTTATCAGAGTGGTACTTTTCGCTAGTTGCTATAATCTCATTGGAATTCGCTAATGTCCACTCATTTTGATCAAGATAATGGAAAGACATGATCTTTAATTTTTTTGGGGTCCCAAACTAAGTCTTAATGTTGGAAATGAACTGTAATATGAATGTTATTTTTCCAATACAAAATTTATGTTATACGATATTGATTTCCTTTTTAATCCCGATTTGCAATGAATTTAGGTTCCAATTCTGGATCACAAAACTGTAAGATGGATTCAGCCCAACACTCTGGTTCGATTCCGGGGAATGATTCAGGATATGTTGGGAAATGAAGTCTATATCGGTGCTTACAAGGTATTGATGCTTTCCCAGTGGCAGTGATTTTCTGGGTTTTTGTTTTTATTTGAGTCTTGAGAACAGTCCAATTTATTTTCGTGGTTTTCGAAGGATGGCACGGCTTGGAGAACCAACAAGTATTTGGATTTTTCGCAAGTTCCAATGGATTCTTCGGCGGATATGCGAATTTGGGAACGCCGTTTGCTCTACTGTATCCCCGTGAGTGTCTCTATAATTTATGTTCTTTATCTTATCATGCCGTGAAATCCATGAATTTGGAAACAGCGCACAAGCATCTTTTTTTAATTTGTTGTTGCCTTAATCTTGTTTCAGGTTCCGGGACTGAATTCATGGGCTGAATCTTCTTCTGAAGCGTTGATAAAAAGAAGCATGGAGTTGGCATCTCAACAAAGAGAGAAGCGTCGGAGAGGGGATGATGAAGCTGTTGATGACATGGATTTAATTGTAATTTCTGCCCCCTTATCTTGTACTAGTGTTCTTGTACTAATTCAAGATACAGAGGATATTGAAGTAAAGTGGAAAAGGTAGCTGAAACCAATGGAAGCTTAAAAACAGTCTAACCAAGTCATTCGTGCAAGTCTGGGAATTAGAACAAACATGATATATTTCATGTCCTTTTTATTTAAATCGGATTAAGTTTATAATGATAGGTTTAATGAGGTCATCATATTCAGTTTAAATTTTCATCCGATTTGCTGATGCGGTGTCTTTAGTTTTTGAGTTTCATATTTTAGTTCGAGTACCCTGTTCTCTGTTAAATGTTTATTACATTACTTGCTATGACAGATCTCGAATGATGGGTTTGAAGGTTCTCCTAGCGCCAAAAAGATGGTAAGTAGAAATCAGTGAATGGATGATTCACTCTTATATCCTTATTTTATTTTATTTACACTTGGTATTTGTCTAATCGCATGAGGGGTTGAAATTTGAGATTCTGTTAAAAGTTTATATTGTGCTTTGTGCTGTTTTTGGTTGTCAATTCTAACTCATTTTGCTAAGCAGCGTTCTACATTTCTGATGAAGATCATAACTCATTTTACTATATAGTGTTACACATTTCTGATGAATATCATTCGTATCTCCTGATTTTTTCGCTAGAGAGAGGATGGACATCCTTCTCAGTCTTCTCAGTCTCAGGAGTCTGTGTCTCAGGGCGCCTGCTCTAGTGCAAGTGTTCAGCCTAATGTTGATAGGGATTCTCTTCCTTGTCTGGTCAAGGTATGTTGTCGTTTGTTAATCTCCCAAGCTAATTAGCTGTATGGCTTTAAAGTGATGAATTTTATATGTTTCTTGCTTGTTCTACCGAATCTGATAAAAATTTAGTTCAAATGGTCAGATATGTGATATCCCAGAGTCCGATTTGAAGCTAAATGATGTTTTTGAGTTTATTGGCGTCCTCACTTTAGTTTCGCAACATCAAGTGGATAAAGATGAAAATGATGATTTTGAAAATGGCTTCATGGGAGATGAACTGACCCCTTTGCCCCCTCGCAATGAGGTACTGGCTCTTTCTTTTATCACTTGATTTTTGTTGTCTTCATGCATAATCTCGTCACTTTTTACGTATTTTTGTTCATATTGCTGGTAGTTAATTATTATCGTGGTTGATATTATTCTTGCATTTATTTACTTTACTGTAAGAGCTTATGATGAGCCCATTTATGCTAGTTCCTGAAGTTTGACACTGATAAATATGGACTACTTATTAAAATTATTAGAACTAGTTAGTGTCCAATGCGTGTTTCCACACCACAAGAAATTTGCTTTTGTAAATTTAGTGTGCATCGCACACAATTGACTTCAGCCTGACCAGAAAAGGCAGTTTCAACTGAATTGGCTTCCGTATCTATATGTGTTTTGCTGTAACTGCATCTCTTGCATTTCTGTATAACTTATGTTTTATTTTCTTGTTTACAGGTACCACACCTCCACTGTCTCATTCATCGGAAACTTGCAGTTCATGACTTTCTTCAGAGTTCGCCCATGTTGGAGGTGATTTTGTGCCCACTTTAGTTTTGGTTATCCTTATATGAGTGATAATGGATAGACATAACCTCTGTTGTACTTCCAATAATCTAGATATGTAAATTTTTTCCCTAATGTTGCCCTGTGTTAAAATCACATTGTTGTTTTATCTCACAGCCAAAACCTGTAGTGGTAAAAGAGACAAGGGAAACTCTCCTGAGGCATCTCACAAATGTTCTTGGTAATGATGGTCTAGCTGCGCATTTCGTGTTGTTGCATCTCCTGTCCAAAGTAAATCATCTTTCACAATCATAATGTGATTTTCTCTTGATAATAGCTTTTACATTTCCTTCCTTTATTTGTTTTAATCTTAATCTTAATCTTAAATTTTTTATTATGACAACTATCCTGTTTTGAGTCTTACTCATGGGATATATTATATACAACTAAAACTTTTTTCTTGACAGGTGCATTCTAGAGTCGATACACTTGCTGTGGGGAAGCTCTCACTGAATCTCACTGGTTTAAGCAAAGAAAGTGTGTCTGTGTTTGGCAATCATCTTAGCCTTGCAATCAAGAATCTTAAACCTTTCTCTGATTATTTACCTCTAACAATTGGGTATCTCAACACTACTCCTTTTTCACCAAAAAAGGATTATGAGACAAATAGGTAAACTCATCTCCTTTCCGTAATTGTAATTCAAGTTCACTTTCAAGTTGTATTATTTTGGCTGAACTGTAACTTCTAAGAATATACAGTTCTTCATATATTTGACAAGTCTAAATTTTTGCTCCAGGCTCATTACCGGTCGTCTGCAGCTGGCTGAGGGCACACACTTGCTCATTGACGAGACCACAATGGGAGAAGGAAACCTCTTATCTGTTGGAGTTGACAATACAAGATTGCTTAAAAATTTGATCGAGTTGCAAAAGGTGAAGTTGATCTTGCAGTGTCCATAAAGTCTTGGTTGTGTGTATATAATATATATATATATATATATACACACACACACAAACACATTAATACACATTTATTTTCGCATATAGCATAGGTGAAATGTGTTTGACTAGACATAGAGATTCGCTTGAATTTGCTTCATGTGATTTTTGCTTACTTGAACTCGGGTTTCAGTGAGAAAAAAAATGTTACATACCTTTAACTGCTACTGATACGAGCTTGTAATGTTTCTATCAGCTGGAGTATGACTTCAAGTACTATAAAATGGAGATGGCAGCTGATATCCAGTTGCTCGTATTGTCAGAGGGGAAATCATTTTTTTGTCCTGCTGATTTAGTTTTACCTTTCCAACCTACTTCAGTGGGTTCTTCTGAAGCTTCTCCAGAAGCGTTGGACGCATGGAGATGGTACTTGGCCACGCTTAGATCATTGCCTCATTCTATCGACTCAGAAATTCAGAAGGTATTGTCTTCATTCACATTAAACAAGTTTTTCTTTTTCTCAATGCATAAGATTAAACTTTAAGAGGCTAAACTAAGTAGAAAACAAAATTAATGTTTCTGTGAACCTTTAATGTGAAATTTTCAGGTGATAGAAAATGACTTGGTTGAAGCAAGGCAAGCGGACAGGAACCTGGGCACTGAAGATTTTAGCAGGTTAGAATTCACAAGCTTCCATTATGCCTTATGAGTCATTTTTTTTCCCTTTGTGAAAGTTATTAGTATCAATTTATATGCAAAGTTTTAGTCAAAATCTGTAATTAGTTTTTTCTTGCTTACAGATTGCTGACAATTGGCCGTCTAATGTGCATGAGTTACGGTGAAACATCCTTATCTTTGGAACATTGGCAGATGGTCAAGGAGCTGGAGAGGCTACGAAGAGAGAGGCTGAAGTGAAAATTCTAATTTGATTGTGATTTGTTATAATATAGGCACGTGTAACTTAGCCCAAGACTGATGATCAGATATATGTCAAGTTCTTTTTTTTTTTTTTTTTTTTTTTGGTCGCAAATGTGTTATCATTTGATAGTAAAGGCACCAGAAAGTTTAACAAACTTGTTCCACCAAAATCTTATCAGCACTAGATTTCTCTTTGTATGACATCGTGCAATCTTGTTCCACCAAAATCTTATCCCCAGTGGTTTTGCGTTCACTATCAAAATGGAATTAGAAAGAGGGTTTTAATAATTGTTCCAGTTGGCTTCACTTGACCGCCAGTGTTGTGCAATTAGCTTAACAAACTTCTCTGATTGTAAATGTTTCATGTTTGTAGTCTTAACTAATTTTCTACTTGAAGTCTTGTAAAAACAGGTAAATTAGTTGATCATTTTAATGTTTACTTCCATTTTGGAATAGGTCCTTAAATAAATGAAAGATACATGAATATATGTTATGATTGAACTCAATATATGTTATGAATATATTTTGAATATATGTTTTGGGATGGATATTTGAACTCAATATTTTAATTTTGAAATGGATGGGCCTCAGCACCAAAATTAAAGTTTACAAATCTGCTGGAGCTCTAAATATACAATTTTTTTGTAAATTAGCTACCGACACTTGGCAATCCTGTTATTGACTGGAATACACTCAGGGTTCACAAACTTCATCCTGATACTTTGGTAGAAATAACTGAGGAGGAAATGTCACATGCAGAATCCTGTATACTTTTTTCTTTTCAACCTTTTTGTTTGTTTGTCCATATTTCTTTTTGTTTCGGCTAAAGCTGTATGTGGGATTCTGTGGGCTTTGCTTATTTGCCAAGTCTTGCAATAAAGAGATCTTCACTTGTGGATCAGAAATTCAGAATAATATAAAGTTGCCACAGATGAGATGAGATATTGATATTCATTTACTGACTTAGACCCATAAACATCCACGAAGAATAATCAAAAGTATTATTATTTATAATTTAGAAAGTTTCCCCAGCTGGGTCTGACACTCCTTGACACCAACTGGGGAGTAAATTTACATTACATTACTCTCTCAACATACCAAAGTGGCCTTCGATTTAAACAAAAGGCACTCAAATTGAGTATTTCCTATCTCTAACTCTTAAACTATTTGGACTCACAAGTCACAACCCCCTTAATAACCCAAAAAAAAAAAAAAGCCTAGCGGGTGCCAATCAGCCACCTCAGCTATAAACAGCCTCATAGGCCTTGCCTTTTTTTTGATAATTCCCTACTCTACCCCCAACAAACAAAATGCCATTTTTGGTATTACATGTATTACAAACTGTCACACACATAAAAATAAAAAATAAAAAAAAAAGTGTTGAAAAATCATACACTTTTTTTTTTTTTTTTAAATTAGACTTGAGCTCCCTCAAATGTTTGCCCAAATTGCCAACCCGCTGGTGCAACGCTGTTGCTAGTAATGGTCCTTCCATCACTGAGGGTGACTTGGAAAGAGAGGCTTTGGCCATTGAGGTATGAGTTGCTTTGCCAATTTTGCCCCCAATTCCTTGACATGGATTGCCATCCTGTCTTTGATCCCTTGATTGACACTGAGTGAATATCTCCTGCTCCTCCAACGTTTGTGATCAAAACCAAGTTGAAGTACGAGTGACCATTGATTGTGAACCTAATTCCTCCTTTCTTCACACATGGCACCCTGCAAAAAATCACATACAATTAAGTTAGATTAATAATTTACTATTCCATAGACAAGTTTGCTTAATTCTTTGATTAGAAAACTGAATTGATGCTTAGTTAGTTAATTGGTTACCTTCTGAAGGAGACCGGGACGATTCCAGCTCGGTATTGAGCAATCTGGAGGAAAGCAGGCTCGGCCAAGTCAAAGTGTTGGAGAGGAGGGTTGCACCAGCCGCCGTTGTCGTTTGACAAGGCGAAGTTGGGAGGGCAAAAGTTTGTGGCGGTGACGGTGATGCTGCCGGGCAGGCACCATTTCGGGTCGTTGTCACATCGCATTTCGTAGCAAGCCCCGCAGCTCAAGCCATTGTTGAACAGAGATGTGCTTAGTGCTGCAGTGTTTGTTCCGTAGCCTTGGCTGTACAAGTTGCCGTATCCACAAGCACCTCCTGTAGTAATAATAGCATTGACAAGAATTAGACTAGATTGAAACAATTCCATGACATTAAACTTTTTTTTCCCCTTAAGTTTTTAACCTTTTATTAATATTTTCCTGCTGTTTACAATACTAAACATCGCCATTAGCAATGACAAGGACGTGTGATAGTGCGTGTCACATAAAAACGCGACATCTATTTAGTCCTATACTTTTCTTTATATTATGTAACGATTCTGTTATGTTGTTATACATTAATCCTCTTAGCACTTTTACCATAAGTCGGGGCATAATACTAATAAAGATAGAAAGTAAGTCAGTGTAACATACCCATTGTGCCGGAAGCGTCACCTCCCCCATAAAATGTGGCATGTCCGGATTGCCATCCTCCTCCATAGTCACCATAAGTGCCTCTAAGGCAAAGGTTAAGGACCAAGAATAGGAGAGAGACGGCAGATAGTGAAGCAATGGCCATTTTTTTTAACGATGCTGTGTGTTTATTTTGGTTGTGTGTTGTGAGAAAGTGAAAAAGGGAGGGAGAGAGAAGTGCCTAGAGCTGAGTGTGGTGGGAAGAAAGGGAATAAAGAGGTTTACTTATATAGGGAAAGGAGGTTTGGCCCTTTTCTGTGGGGCAGTGTGCTAGAAAGTGACAAGTTAGCGGTGTTCATCTCTGAGGAGAGAGAGAGAGAGAGAGAGAGAACCACAAAAACAGATTTTCGTAATTTCAGGTCGTTTACAAGTATCAATGTTGCACATGCAAATGTTCCAGTTCGACTCACCAACTGCTAACCCCAATGACCCCACCAGCACATGCACGTCGCAACCGTTTTCTTCGTCTTCTACTTGTGTGTATGTATATATATATATATATATATATAGATAATGTTTACAATTTTCTTAGTTGAAAAACATTGAAATATTGTTTGTTACGTGTGGAAAATATATTTTCTTTTTTCTTCTGAGATTCCGCAAAATTAGCTAACAAATTAAGGCCTTTGATTGGGGAAGTTTTGGTGTCTCCAAGGTCTAATTTTGTGAGCTGTGGAGGATTATATGTACCTAACGTAGGTAGTAGAATCATACTGGTTCAAGACTTGAAGGTAGGTACCCCAGTTAAGTCAATTCACACCATACATATATATATATATATCCTAAAACATTGTTAAATATATACGTTTTTTGCTATGTAAAAAAACTGGGATATTACTTAATCATTAGCATGTTTGAAAATGCTAATTTCTCAATTTTTTTTATGATAAAAAGTGTGGGAGGAGCGACCAATCGTAGTTATATTTTGAACATCCGTATTAGACTATAACTCCTTGTGTCGGCAGATAACGAGGTAATAAATATTGAGTCAATAATCTAAAATTCCTAACTATCTTCACCATAAGACTAGAACATAAGATCTTAAGCTCAATATTATTGGACCAGAACTAGCTTAAATTACCTTCTGCTTGCATCATTATGCTTTAAGAGAATAACAGATTGATTTTACCTTCTTCATAAACTATTCATATCTCCACATCAAGTTTGTTACTTGAAAGAAATCTGTTAGATAGAACTCAGAAGGCCTGTGTTTTACCCTTTACATTTTCTGACACAAGTTATGTCTGTATTTGATTTCCGTCCAACAAGTCATTATTTGATAATTACAAAATGAGTCATTTCAGATTAAGCAAAATACTGCTCCATAGATATGCAGAATCAAATGTCGGTTACTGTAAAAAAAAAAAAAAAAAAAAAAAAAAAAAAAAAAAAAAAAACAATTTGAGCATAAAATCCAAGAAACGCATCAAACCAGAGCTTTGTCAACTCAAAATAAAAATTAACTATATAAGAAGGTGAACGTGTGGGTGCGTTAGCATAATACCACAACCCATGATTGGCATTACTAGCGTACGTGGATGAATAATTTCTTTAATCAAGACTCTTAATTATTATACGAGAAATGCTAACATTACTTTTTCTGTTAATCTCTTTATTACTTTTTATATTTATTATTTTACGTGGAGTTCACTAACTTGATATATTATTATTTAAATAAAAAATAAGATAGTAAAATTCACGTTTTAATACAATAAATGTAAAGAGTTAATTCTAATATAATATCATTAATTAGTTGAAAGCTTGGGATTGGATAAGTGATTGAAAGAGTAGGCAGCTTTTGATGATGGGCCTACCATGTTACCGGCACATGCAAGTCCCGGCCTTGGCGGTCCATAATATTCGTCATGCATCAATAACAAGGAAAATTTATGGCTGCTTTCATTTGTAAGATGAAAATAAAATATGGTAAACAAGCACCTTTCAGGTTTGATCTATTAATGGCTAGCATTTTCTGTTTCATATCTTTTGCATTAAATTTCATTTCTTTTCTTTTCTTGTGCGGTGTGACAAAAGGGGTCACGGAAAAAAGTATCATTTTACTTCATATTCGCTAGTAGAATTTCGGATCTACAAATTTGTCTCTTCCATATATGAGAATTCTTTGGTGGATTTGAGGAATTAGTAGTATCTTTTGATTTGTCAGGAGACATGTTTTCCGTTTTTAATTTTTAGTCTTTCAAGACTTGTAAGGAAAATGGTTCTTTTTTTTTTTTTTTTTTTTTTTTTTTTATTCTTAACCTTTCATGAAGGAGTAAACTAAACGTGACGAACGAATGTGATTAGTCTGCACCGAATTTGACTTCAACGCCAAATTTTACGGCTTGGAAAGTAGGAATTAAAATTTTTCTTAATGGACGAGGACTAATTATAACCAAATAAAATATTTACGGAGTTTTAAGTGCTAAGTAGGAATTAATATATATATATATATCATCTTTCTTACACCTTTTGATGTAGAATTAGAGGCTCAAAAGTCTAAGCATTAATACTAGCAACATATACACATTGGATGGCGAAAAAAGGGGGACAATATTTTTGAGCAAAATGTGAACATGACCTCTGCTCATTTAATTTTATGTTTCGATTTGGCATTACAAGAATGAGAATTCCCTTTCACTGCTAAGAAAAAAATGGAGTGCACGACATTTATTTCGTGTATTTATTAGAAGAAATATATATATATATATATATTTCCAATTGGTATATATCAACTAGCAACAAATTTTGTGATCCTAAGGTTTCATCAAACCTTTTCTCAAGGGATCTGATCTAAATTTAGATCCACAAAAAGAGGGCAAGTGGATTATATCCAAATGTTGTGTATTGGGGACCAATGAAAATGTCCCTCACAAGGGCTGTCTTTTAGCCCAATTGGAGACTCAAGGACACAAGAACATGGAATAGACAAATGGTAAGACGGTCTCGAATGGTCACTTTCAATATGGTAGTTAATGGCAAGGTCACATTTTGCAACCCCCCAAACAGCCCCACATGAGGTTTGAAGGTCTATCCCAACCATGTGCATTTAAGTGGAAAACTTGGTGAAGTGGGACACACTTATAACCCCTTATAAGGTAACATATTAGCTCTGTTTGGGGCTCTTTTTTTTTTTTTTTTTTTTTCACAGAGAAAGGATATACTGAATGGAGTTACATCAGTTTTCTCGTACTCATGGTGGGAATCTGAGGACAAAAAATTATTGAATTTTTACCATTTGAAGAGCTTCTACATGTTCATTTTCGATGTGGGTTGCATAATCGAGGCAAGAGAGTGTTGTTGTGACATCCGAGTTAGTTATGTCGGCTATGAGCTATAGATTTTTTTGTTTGAGAAAATTACCAAACTTACTTTTAGAGTATGTGAGTCTGAATTTTTACCTTTTACTCTTCATTAATACCCTTTTGACTAATATAGGATGTAAAATTTCAAACTCATACACTCTTAAGGGTATTCTTATTGATTTCATCTTAGTTAAGAGAAGATCTCTTTAAGGCATGCTACATATGATCTGGGCATCATAACAAAATGGCTCAAATGTAAGGATTAAATCCCTGAAATCACGAGTCACTTGTCTAGATAGCTATCCAATTAAATTTAAATTACAGATAAGGCCAACATTTGGGATTGGCAAGCTAAAGGGTCAACCCAAATTAACGGGCAATTCGCGCTTAAAATTCAAATGAGATATAAATACACAAATAGATGGCTCCCAAGATGTAACCTTAATTACCAACTGTTTGCATTCAAGCATGGTTTGGTAATCTTTTGAAACTAACTTTGAAAATCAAATTATTATTATTATTATTAGCCGGCACCAATCCAGACTCCGAAGATCTTTAGCCAGCACCAATCCAGACTCCAGTGCAAAGTTAACTTTATTATTATTATTATTTTCCTGTTTTGCAGGTGCAAATTCTCGCTTGAGTTCGAGAAGAAGACAAAAATGAAAGGTCTACAGTAATATCCGCCAACTCTTATTTTCTTTAGAGAGTTGATTTGTTCATGGTTGGTAAACAACCATAATTACTACTTTTATCCATCTTCTGTTCAAGTGTATGAAAGTTTACGTACTTTATCTTGCCTCATGGATCACGCAGATGTTAATAATAATAACTGGGTCAACTCAAAATTGGCGCAAAGTCGTAGAGGACCATCCAATGAAGAAGATCGTGTCCACCTATATCACTCTGTTAGATCCCACAAAAACCGAGTAAGGTTTAAAGGCCACACTGTTCTAACCGTAGTGAAAGCTACAATTCAAAATTTTTCTTTGCTATGGTGATGTGAATAACAGAATAAACTATAAACGAGATAAATATGTTCATACGTGTATATGTGTGTGTATGTGAGAGAGTTCACTCAGTAGACCAAAAACATAACAAGAAAGAGATTTTCATAGCAAATGACACCTTAGTCACAAGTGACGAGAATATATAGCTTTTCACCTTAGTCTCTCATCACTGAGAACAACCCTCTCTTCCAACAATAGAAACCCCAAAGAAGAAAAAACAAAGAATTTGTCAATTGAAAAGAAACAATTCCATGAATAACTTAAAACCTAACAAGCTAGCCAAAATTTTAAAACCAAACAAATTGAAAGAATCAAGTTCAGATGAAACCCTAAAACTGTACCTTTGGCTGTCAATAAGGTCAGTCTATGAACAATCCAACAAATATGGCTTGGACCATGTCAGGACGAGCAACATTAGCTCAAAATCTGTTACTGCTGCCTTCGCCCGCAGAAATGGAGGGCCCTTCGGGCTTCACTAGATGAGAACCTCTGTTGCTGATATCAAGACCCTGCAGCCGGCCTATAGGATCAAGCTGCAACGTCTCTGAGGCATGAGAGTAGGCTGCAGAGAGCATAGGCTGATGCGTAGTGGATACATTATTAGACTGAAGCGGATTAAACTGTGGCATTTGAATGTTACGGGTGTCACCTCGACCAGCTTGATGCTGATTTGAAAAGAAGGAAGATTGGGATGAGTAGGGGATATGGTGCATTCCGAAATTGTAAGTATCGGTATGTGTCAACGTTTCTCCAGTGGCAATCTTGAGCCTCTCAACTTCTTTCTTCAGCGCTTCATTAAGAGCTGTAAAATTCAACAATCATAGGATAGGGTACCAGTTAGGAAGTTCCAGTTGTGTTTTCAAGGAAAGGTAGCTCATACACAAGGTAAGGAAATATACAGGGTACTTTACTGTTCAAATCAACTAATACTTAAGAAAAACACACGAATCTTAAAAAATTGATTAGAGTGCTTGACTGCTTGGTTAACGACAACATAAAACAATAAAAAATTAATACTAATTTGAATTTCTTAACAAAGCAAATAGAATGGTTGGAGTTTGTGCATGTTGATTGATATTCAATCCTAAAAGTGAGGATAAACTGTTTATGCCAACAAAGGAAGATAATAATGCCTAATCACTTGCAATAAAATCTGGAATGTATTTCAAGAAAAGATACTAAAAGAAATAATACATACCATCACGCAAATGAGCTTGCTGCTCCATAGCTTGTAATCGAAGTGTAAGCTCTGTGTTTTCACTACTAAGACCAGTTGTATCTCTCTAGAAAACAGAACAGACAAAAACAAATAAACATATCAGGTAACAGTGCAATAGTCTATGGAAAGGTCCGTGATCAGAATGAAAAAGAACACACGCACGCACGCACACAAAAAGTCAAAACTGATCAAGGAACAATAAAGAACAACAAAAGGTTAAAAAAAAACTAACTGAAAATAGTAGATTAATGGAGACTACAACATAAATGTACTAAAACTTGTGCTAGCATAATGGCAATATTTAGGATATTAGAATAATATTAGTGTGCCACCGAGTGCGTCAAACAGAATACAGCAACCATATCTAACTAAGAGGTTAATCACATATTTTTTATAACAGCGTAACTTGTATGTATATGAAGTAAGCCAGAAGAGTATTTTTGCAAGAACCTGGAAAAGAGTTAGTTGTGCAGAAAGAGTAGTGGCTTCTGTTTGAAGCGTTTGAACTTTTCTCTCAAGTTCTGTAATGTAACGAGCCTTCCTCTCTTTAGAACGAGCAGCAGACTGCCTATTTGCCAAAATCCTGAACAAACATGGAAATGACTGCTCTGTGAAACTTCCCACCAAAAAACCCTCAATTGTGAAAGCAAACAAAGTAAATTCCAATGTTACAAAAAACTAAACTAACTTTCTTTCATCAAGTCTTCCTCGAGGAAAACGAAAAAGAGGGACACAAAATTAAGAAGTTCAATGAGGCAATAAACGAAAGTTTACATTGACATATCAGAACAAAAACTAGATGGATAAAAAAAATATATGTTCAATAACTAAATGGACACCAAGCAAACAAGAAATGGCGTATATCATTGTTCCATGAGTCAACTAGATCCCGGTGTGTCATATCAGTGGCATATTTAAAACGTGCAATGTGTTTGACTGTACTAAGACCAAGAATGGCATATAAGATGAGCAATAATACATAACAGATAAGGAAGGCAAGCCTTCGACATAATCATCAGATTATGTTATACCAACGCAATTGGATAGCTTTGAAAATGCACCAACTTATTCAGAGTACTAATACAATATCAACATAGATTGGTTAGATCAAACAATTCAATCAGAAAGTTTCTTAGGAGAAAAAAAAAATCAACGTAAAAAATTGTCCCCTATCAATCTATCACCAAGTACTAATGCGAGATCTGTAACAAGATCATGAAAGGGAAATTTAGACAATATATGGTACTAAATTTATAAAAGGCAACAAGCATTGAAAAAAGCCATAAGGAAATGCAGGTCGCCATACATTAAAAAACTAGTTCTAGAGAAGGAAATGCAACTCCGAGAATTCAAACAAACAAAAATTTCTTCCTTCTCTTGAAGTTCAGTAATGAAGTACCAATTCTACAGGACTATAACCAAATAAGCATTTTCTAAATCTATAAATCTACGATGCAAATCAACAACAGTACAGAATTGCAGAAGACATACACGAGCTATAATTTACATACATCCATACCTCTTAGCTCGCTTGGGATCAAGGGTCCACAATTCGGCAAGCTTATCAGGAGCCATGGCTTTCTTAGCCTCAATCGTCTCCAAATTCGAACAGTCCACCGAATTGCTATGCCGGTGCCTCGGCCTCGCATTCTTCTCTTCCCCTCCGCCGGCATTGTCCGGTTTCGGCGCGGCGGCGGGCCCGTCGTTGAGCTTGGATCCGAACTTCTCAATGTCCATGTAGGTGGAGAACAGGTCGTCCTCCGATCCGAGCTCTTCGAAGCTTCCAGAAGGGCCGTCGAAGGGATCGGATAGCAGATCGAGGTCGTCAGGAAGCCGGAATTGGACCTCCGATTGGGCCCTCCGGTGGTAGGATCCGCGGGCCGGTAAGCCCGGGCTTGGGCGGTGAAACGACGTCGTCATGGCGTGGGGAAAGCGAGAGGCCTGGTTCTCGGAGTTTGGGTTCGGACCAGGATCCGGTTTCGACGGATCTCGCATCTCCATTGTCTGTCTGATCTCGAGCTTCTTTTTTTTTTTGGGCTGTACTATTTCCGGTCTTCTCCTCTATCGCTCCTCCGTACTTGTCTCCAGCCTCAAATTCTTTCTTTTGTCGGGGTCGCGTTTCGTCAACGCCACAAGAAACGATGCCGTTTTTTATTTAAATACTCTAAAGGGTAATCTTAACCCATTGCAGAATTCTTACTTTGTATTCTTGATTTATAAATTTTTTAATTAAATAATAAGATTAACAAAAAATATTTATCAAGAATAAAACGTAAAAGTCTAAATTTATACACTTTTAAAATAAATTTTTCAATTTTTGTATATCCCTAAATGTTAATTAATGCCTTTAGATTTGCAATCTCTTTCTCTTTTTTTAAAGATTCGTGGTGACTTATTCGGGAAATCGAATTCTAAAAAACAAGAAAAGAAATAAAAATGATAAACGACACTCGAGAAATTTTTTTTGAGGAGGTTTATTTAATTATTTTTTATAAATTTTTTTCTTTAGTATTTTCACCCTTTTTTTTAATCAATTTCATTTGTGTGTCTATTTTTTTTTATTTATAATATGACTTGAAATTTTGTCCCATTTGCACATTTTCGTTGCAAACATAACGGAAGTTTGGTGAGATACGGTCTAAAAAATTCACGAAGATCAATCTTGTCTAAAAAATTAACCGAGCACGTGAAAATATGCAAAATGAACTAAATTTTGAAAGTTTTAAACAATTAAGGCTCTGTTCATTTCACTGATTCAAATTTAAAATTTGAGTTGTATTACAGTAAAAAACTCTCATAAATAATCATATTTAACTTTTCTACTACAGTAAAAAAATTTTACATAAAATCACATTTTAATTTAAATTAAAAATTTAAATTAACAAACTAAACTGTTCTTAAAACATTTCTTTTGAGCGGATATGTTTATCTATTTTCTTGTCGTTTCCTATCGCTCTGTGGCATCGGGAGAGGACATATAGAAAGCAATCAGACTATCATGGAAATCAGAGAGTGAATAATAACAGAGTTCAAGCAAAAAGAATAATAACAGAGTTCACCAAGAGAGTAAATGAGAACTTGTTTTATTTATAGAAAATGTGTCCAATCTAAAAAGTACCTTAAGTTGATACACGTCACCAGTTTGTTTTAGTATAAAAATATTCCAAATAATTTTTAGAGCATCTCAATTACAAAGCTATAATTAATGTATCAATTATATATTTAATATTTAAGTGTAAAAAGCACACTCTAATATAATGTTATTTATTATGCTGAATTTTTCATATACTATATACATTGTGACAAATTTCTCACCAAATATAATATATGAAAAATTTAACATTTGATTACGATGGGTTGAAATATTTACTTTTTTTCATATAATTAATGCAACTTTTGAGTTTTCTAATTATTTTAAAAATAAAAGCTTACTTTTACGACTTCTAAAACTTAATAATTATAGAAAAAAATAGATTTAGTATTTTAAATAATATTATGTATTGGAGTAAAGATAAAAATAACATACCATATCATAATTTTTTATTCTAAATATATAATTAATATTAATATTTATATTAGAGGTGGTCTTATCAGTATTAATTAAGGAAATTCCCTCATTTTCTTTATAGGACATCAACACTTATTTTAAATGAATATCTCGAGATTCGACTTTAGGCTCATTACTCTATTCTCGAGAGAGATCCATTATCATTTTCGATCTACTCATCAAAGAAATTAAGGCCCCGTTCATTTCGCTGATTCGAATTTAGAATTTGAGTTTTATTACAGTAAAAAACTCTCATAAACAATCACATTTAATTTTTTTACTATAATAAAAAGTTTTCACATAAAATCACATCTCAACTCGAATTAAAAACTCGAATCAGCGAACTAAACGGGCCCAGAAACAGTCACATCTAACTTTTTTACTACAGTAAAAAACTCTCATAAACAATCACATTTAATTTTTTTACTATAATAAAAAGTTTTCACATAAAATCACATCTCAACTCGAATTAAAAACTCGAATCAGCGAACTAAACGGGCCCAGAAACAGTCACATCTAACTTTTTTACTACAGTAAAAAACTCTCACATAACGTCACATCTCAACTCAAATTAACGAACTAAACGGGCTCTAAGTACCTTTTTCAAAATTCTTGAAACTCAATCTCAATATGTCACGAACATTGGAGTTATTTTGTGGTTTTATGTCTGGTCTTGAGGTCTTAATTTCCTATAACATTAAAGGAAAACGCATCACACTCAATTTTCTTTGAAAAGATTCTGATGTCTCTTAGTAAGTGAGCTCTGCCACCACAATAAGTTGACAAGCTTGATTCATTATGAGAACTTCCAAACTCGGCAATGTTAATAAAAGTTTTCATTTATTTCATGCGTTTAAATTCATAATTTTGATTTTATTATAATATTTTATTCTCATAAAAAATTTAAATTTCAAATGTCAAAGTTAAGAACCACTAAGTTAAACGTATGAATTAAACAGGCCCTTAGATATTCAAGATTTATTCTTTTCACAGCTCAAATTCTTTTGTTATGCTATAGTGTTTTCTCTCATAAAAATTCAATTGTAATTTTTTTATTAGTGTTTTTTTCACATAAAAAAATTTGAGTTGTAATTTTGATTATGAAAAGAACGACAGCCCAAATTTGTTGAAATAAACTCCTCTCTTTATATAGACAATTCTAATGTAGTCTTAAGGCCCGTTTAGTTCGTTGATTCGAGTTGAGATGTTACTTTATATTAGAGTTTTTTACTGTAGTAAAAAAGTTAAATATGACTATTTTTAGAGCTTTTTACTACAATAAAATTTAAATTTTAAATTTAAATCGGTAAAATTAACCGCTGAAATTTTTAAGATGTCAAAAAGAATCTTAGGCCCCGTTCATTTCGCTAATTTAAGTTTAGAATTCGAGTTTTACTATAGTAAAAAACTCTCACAAACGGTCACATTTAACTTTTTTACTATAGTAAAAAATTTTCACATAAAATCACATTTCAACTCAAATTAAAAATTTGAATCAACAAACTAAACGGGCCTCAGTCCAATAACCAAAATTGATTCGAATGTAGTCAATTATAGAAGTTCTGGGGAAAAAAAAATCCAAACTCTAGAAGGCCGAGCTTGAGTCAGCCTTAAATCCCAGTTTCCAAGTGTGGGCTTCAATCCCAAGATGATGAAGAAGAAAGCATTTGATTCAGACAACACGAGTCAGTCATGGGCTCGAGTCAAGGTTCTGTATTTTTTGTCGTCGTTTTAACCATACCTTGTTTTCTTCGCAAGAGACAAAAAGACCATGGGACCGATGAACTTGTACCAAGTTATCAGTTAATTTACTTGCTAGCAAAAAATAGTTTTCAGTTATCAGTTATCACCACGGTAACATACTTCTTACTTTTGAGGGCCCCATTCTGGTGATAATTGGAATATTTATATTAAAACACGTGTACTGCCTACTCGTTGGCTGAAAAAATCTGTCCAAACCACGGAATTTATTCACAAATCACAAGCAATTAACAGAAGTGTACCACATGATAGGACTCGCATATATCTCTATTAGGATCATGAATGATCTTGTCCTTGTCAGAAGAAAACGACACAGATCTCTCTCCCCCTCTCTTTCTTTTTTTTTTTTTTTTTTTTTTTTTTTTTTTTTTAGCTTGAAGACACAGATATCTCTTACAAGCCCCTTGTCAATGTTCTAGTAAGTTATAAGTAGCTTAAACAAGAGAAAAAAAGAAATAAAAAAAATACTGTTTTATACCATAAGATAACTTGTTTTTACTTGTCAGCGGTGCATTAAATTATGTCAATTATATACATAATATACATAATATATGATTAGCAATATATATATATATAATATATATTTTTCTGTGTGAACGTTTAGATATATATTACTAAAGTATTTCTATCATAGAAAGGATTTTCAAATAAAAAGTATTTCTATCATAGAGCAAATTTGTTTAAATACTAGATAGACTTTCAACGGTTAAATATGATTATGAACATTAAAATGGAATGACAATTCATAAAATTTAGAAAATTGTATTATGGTTTAAACAAATCTTAGAAATCTCCAATAAAAATAAAGCAAAATTTGATTTTCGTTTTAGTTTTTTATTTTTTACGACCATTGGTTTCAAATATTTGTTCTGTCAAAAATAACATATACGGATGATCCTCTTAAATATTTTTATTTTTGTCTTTAAATAAAGATTTAATCCTCCTTAAAAAAGGATGCTATATGCAACATAAAGAAGGACGAGAATCGCAAAAGGTTCAACATAAATACTTGCTACCGAAAAAAAAAAGCATAAAACAATTCATATGCTTACTTCACATTAAAAAAAAATACGGAAAAGAAACAAAGATGAAATGTCATCTTCTTTTTTTTTTTTTTTTTTTTTTTCTAATCAATGTCATCTTTTCTATCAATGTCATCTTTTCTTTTGGAGACCAACTCTCAAGTAGAAGTGAAATTTTCATTGATAGGTGGGCACAAGAAAATAATGATATAGTGATTGCTAGAAAGCCATATTTTCTGTGGCTGATAATAGTATATTGCTACGTATAGGGTCTTAGGTGTAGGGACGTGTCATCTCTGCTGACAAGACAAAGAGGAGCCTCATTTTCTTTCATTTATTGTGTAACCGGTAACTACCGGACACCCGGCACTAAACTGCCACTGTGGGTTCCTCTCGTTTTGAAACCTTATTAGTAGCATTGAGCTTGATTTTTTGTTAAGTTTGATCGAAGAATTTAGGACCTGTTTACTTTATTGATTTGAGTTTGTAATTTGAATTGAAATATAATTTTATATGAGAATTTTTTATTATAATAAAAAAATTAGATGTAATTGTTTCTAAAAATTTTTTACTGTAATAAAACTCGAATTCTAAACTCGAATCGGCGTAATAAACGAACCCTTAATTTGTGAAGCACGTGGAGGAAAACTTACAGCTTCGGCGCCCACATAAATTATTATGTCAATTAATAAAAAGTGAACTTCATCCGTAGAATTTTGGGTGTAAGACCCTCCCGCCTTGTATTAGTCATTTTTAAAGTCAATGGTGACTCTTTAA